TCTCCAGGAAGGGTTTCTCCCCCTCTGTCCTCCTCTCTATTCATTTTTTCCCCTTTCTTCGGCATTTTTCCTCTCTGAGGGTGAGGGGGTGTCAGGCTTCTGGGTGCTGAACACGTTCTGCTTTGCTGATGATATTTCCTCAAGTGGGAACCGCTGTGTGGCTCAGCTCCCCGGTGCCTGGGGACAACCCAAGGGGAGCAGGAGCTCTGGCTGGGACCTTGCCCCCCTGGGCTGAGGGTTCTCCCATCGGCTCCCAAGGAGGGGAGCAGTCCCAGCTCTCACCCAGAAGCCTCAGGACCCTCTGTGGATGTCTCTCCTTGGCCAACGTGTCTGTTCCCAGCCTCTCCAAGATGTTTTCCTGCAAGGCTTTGGAGAGCCAAGCTGTTCTCCTGCTGTCGTGCTCGGCTCTGGCCGCCTGATGGAGACCTTCATCCCCAGCAGCTCCTCTCCATCACCCGCCTGCCTCTCCAGAAATGCCTTCTGCTCTCCCCACGCCTGCTCCAGCTCTACCTACAGATATTGAGTTTCTGCATCCCAGCATGGGACTGTCCATGCCAATCCCCAAACACATTGGATAGGCAGCTGCCCCATGGGGCTTGGGGAGGATCAACATGTCCCCAGGGGGCTGCAGCAGGTCCCCCCTCCTCCCAGGGGAGGGGGCTTTCATGGGTCTGAGGGAGCTTGCAGCAGCACCTCGTATGCAAAACCAGCGGGGCTGTGGATTCCATATTGCAGAGATCCCAAAATTACTGGGACGGTTTCACACGCAAGCTGGGGTCTGGGGGATGCTCAGTTGCTGTCCTCTGGGAAGTTGAATTTGGGGTTATTTTTAGATATAAATTATAAATACCATGGTGAGGAGAGCTGATTTACATTTAGGGTTGTGTTTGCAAATGTGCCCTGTCCCTGCACTCGCTCCTGCAGCCACATGACACTGGTTTTGCCTGGGACAAAGTGTCCCCAGGGCCACTCTCTTCCTTGACACCAGGGTCTGTGGCAGGGACTCTCCTGCAGACGTGGTCGTGGATACTTGGGGACCCCCAGCAGGTGCCGTGTGGCTCCCTGGGTGGGGAGAAACCTCTGCAAAACCACACGTCCTCAGAAAGCAGGTGTCCATCCCTTTGGCACTGGGCTTCTTCCCTTCCCTCTCTCATGTGGAAAGCGCCTGTGGAGCTGGAGAGGCTCTGAGGTAGCCCCAATCCTGCCTGACCCATTATCCCCATCCTCATCCCCATCATTTTCCCCTCCCAATCTCCATCCCATTCCAACTCCAGCCCATCCCCATCCCTATCCTCATTCTATCCTCCTCCCCATCTCCATCTCAACTCCATCAGCTCCATCCTCATCCTATCCCCCTCCCAAACTCCATCCCATCCCAACTCCATCCCACCTGCATCCCCATCCCATTTTCATCCCCATTTCCACTCCATCTCCATCCTCATGATATCTGCCTCCCAATCTCCATCCCAACTCCTTCTATCCCCATCCCATCCCCATCCCGACTCCCTCCAGCTGGCAGGGTGGAGGCAGCAGTCCATCCTGATGGAGAAGAGACAGACATTGCCACTCCATCCCACCCCACTCTCCTCCCAGTCCAGAGCCCCAGTGGCCCCAGACCCACCCCCCTGCCCCTTCCCCTCCACAGGGCCCCATCCTGCACCCAGCTCCTGCTCAGGGTTTGGAGCAGCCTTGGGCTTTCATGGCGCTTTGAAGGGCGGTTGGGAAAGAGGGGAGCACTTGGCCTCTCTGTGCAAACACATCTTCTGGGATCAGGGATGGGCAGGGAGCTCCACCGCCTGAACATCTCACCAGCTGCACTGACCCCTTGGCAGACAGAGTGCACAGGCACTCCAAAGGGGCTTAAACTGTGTGAAAACATGGGATTTTGGTACATTGCTGCATTTTTCCCCACAGAGACCATTAATGAGCAGTGGTGGGATGGGGAGCCCATGTAGAAGCCACCACCTGCCCCTTCCCAGTCCAACATTCAGGTACAGCGGGACTGGAAACTGGTGAAGGACAACTGCTGTCCTTCGCTGGAGGCTCTGCACTCTCCAAGTACCCAGAGATGCTCCTGCTCCTTCTTTTCCTCTTTTTTTTGGGGGGACTAAGACTTTCCTTCAACTGTTTCTTTTTGTAAATATTCAGAATGCCACTTTTTTTTAATTTAAAAAAAAAAAAAAAGAAGAAGAACACCGATCCAATGCTGTGGCTGGGCTGACTGTGTGAACCTGGCACCAGCCCAGCAGGTCAGAAACTGGAAATGAAGCAAAACCAGATGAACCTTTTCATGGAGATATTAGGAAAAGTGAAGGGAGAAAAATCAAACATGTTTCCATGGAAATTTCCATTTTTGAAGGAAAAAAAAAAAAATAAAAGAAGGACTAAACTTGGATGCATTTATATAAATATGGAAATGAAAGCTGTTTCCCCAGCCTTGTCACCACCCCTCAGCCAGCCCCGCTCTCACCGGCACCGCTTCCCCCTTTGCCGTGACTCGTGTCCAAGCTCCTCACAACCATCACCCCCCTGCCCTCCTCTGGCTCCAGCTCAGCCTGCAGCAGCCTCCTCTTCCTCAGCAAAGCCTTGCTTTATATTCGACAGCCAGTTGGCTTTGTCAAATGGTAGCTGGGTTGGGGACACCAGTGGTGTGCATCCCTGGGGACCAGGCTGGCTGGTTGAGGTAGATCGAGGATGTGGTGCCACGGAGCCTGGTCCCCGTGGAGTGACTCGCTGAGAGTTGGGAATGGAGATGGGGCATCCTGGGGCTAATGGAAGAGCCAAGTCCCTTTCTTGATGCCTCTGCAGGGGACGTGTCCATAGGGATACAGGGAGATGATGGGATGGGGCGGTGATGGGCGTGCACTGGCACACGTGTTGCCACGCTCTGGCTTTGCAAACTCCTTCCCATCGCTACAAGAGGCCTCCTCTGTTCTGCCTTGCTGTCAGCTTGGGTTTTTGGGTTTTTTTTCTCTGTTTCTATAGAAAATCCCAATTCCCCCAAATAATCCAGCTAAGAGGAAGAAAAAAAATTAAATACAAACGTGTCATTGCATTCTCTTCCCGTCCCTCTCTCACACCCAGGGCTTGAAAGCGCACTGAAAGGTATTCAGCGTGCACGCTGCCAATTGTCACATCTTTCAATGACAGATTTTAAATGAATGTTATTTTGCAAGGGAGAGAGAGAGAGAAGGGGACAAAAAAAAAAAAAAAAAAAAAGAAAAAAAAAAAACAACACACACTCCTACTCAAAGATTTTTGAAAGGAGAGAGAGAAAAAAGGGAAAAAAAAAAAAAAAGAAAAAAAAAAAAAAAAAAAAAAAGCCCACACTGCTCATCCAAGAGCTGACAAGTCCTAACGGGCCTCATTTTCCAGAGACAAAAATAACTATTTTCAAAATTCACAGCAGGGCCTTCGCCTACACACGCTGCACCAAGAGAAACCTGTGGGGAGAAATGTAAAACACATTGTGTAAATGGAAATGCACCGTGCATCCAAAACGCCTTGAAAGCTATTTACCCTCTTTCATCCTCGCCAGCTCTCCTCAGAGCGCACGTACGCTCGCTCGCACCCCGCCGAAGGCGCGGGGGCACGGCTCTTTGCTGGCTACCCTGGCTCCTGAGCTGCCTGGCTCCTGGAAATCGCCTGGGCTGGCTCCCCATGGCAGGTGGGTGATGGGGAGGTGTTTCCCCTCCTACGCGTGTGCTGCTGGGAGAGCGGTGCCCATCTGTGGAGAGAGGATGTGGCAGGCAGGATTTGTCCCTGTCCCCGCCATGGCTTCGAAGTCCTGCACCTACAGAGC